GTAAATGAAGCAACTGAAATTATGAAAAATATAATAATTAAGACTGTTTTTTCTAATAATAATAATAAAATTCCAATTTGATATTACTATTAATGCTACTAATGAGAATAAAACAACTAAAATTAAAATGGAAAAAATATTCATCCAAAATTAATACAATAGTTGACAATGTTTAATCTAATAATAAAAATTTCAAGTTAATATTACGTCTAATATTACTAATGTCAATAAATCAAGTAAAATTAAGATGAAAGAAATACTAAAAAAAAGAATTCATCATGGTTGATAATACTTATAATACATTCAAGACAAACATTATAGTTATTCTTGATATAACACTTAAGTTGTTTCTTTTATTTTTGTTCTCCTGTGTTTAAAAACTTAGATGATCATTGTTAGTATATTCTTCCCTACCTCCAAAACTGGATTATACATCGTGTCACTTCCCACTTGTTAGTAAAATTTATAAGCATTAATGTGAATGTGTGAGTGGTGTATAGTAGCTCAGGATAAGAAATCAATTGAGTTGAATTCCAGTTTGGTTCATTACATCATTTACTTATGAGCAAATATCCTTGAGAAAGGAATGAAACCATTTTCTTCCCCCAGTAATGGGTTTAATAGCATGACTTGTATTTGGAAAAAAAATCATTGTTCTCAAAAAAAATTGCTAATGCAATATTCACTCACAACAGAAGAATTATTCTTACAATCCAAAATCTGTTTCTGCTTTAAATGACCACAAAAGACTGATAAGCCATTGTTGCAGACCCCTTGGAGGTAGGCATAATGTTATATGGCCAGAGCACCGAAATAAGTATGAGGTCACAAGAGGCCCACTAACATTTTTGAAATAAAGACATGAAATCTGACAGGAGGAACAAAATGGACAATAGAATGTGGATATTTAAAAATTAATACAAAATTTATTTACAATACAGGCCAGGGTTGTAGGTTAGATTAGAATGCAAGCCCAATGAAAAGTGTTGAAGGGGCTGGTCAGAACCACTCTCTTGCTGCACTGTTGCTGGTTGGGTCCAGTGGTAAATTTCCCATAGTATTATAACCGTAGTGTATGGGATAGGTTATTAGAGTCTGGAATGATATGCATACTGCTAGTAGGGACTGATGTATAGCCGGAAATTCAGGGCTATAGTGAACAGGTCCATTTATGCTGTCAATCAAGTGGATTACGTTGAAGTAAGTGATGCCAGATGCAGGGACAGTGATGTAGCCAGAAGTAGCAAAGCCAAGAAGTAAAAGTCTGTGCTAGCCTGAAGTAATGGAGGGCAAGAGTGTGCTGGAAGTAGTAAAGGCCAGAAGTAAAAGCTCAACTAGCATCCAGTTGGCAGACAAAAAAAAGAGGACTGTAGCTTAATACAGAGCCTGTCCAAGCACCGTGGTCATTGAGGGTTTCTTCTCCTCCACTCTCTGAGACCCTAATTTGGTAAGAAGTTGCTGACTTATGTGAAGGGAGTGTAACAACATCTGCTAGTCTCTGAAAATACTAAAAATCTCTAGAAAAATTAAACAGAAATTTTCTACAAAATATAAAGGTATAAAATAGTTATGAAGTATATTATAACTAGTAATAATAATAGTAACACAAAATGAACTAAAATGTCATTAGATCAAGGATGAAACTAAATGAAATTAAATTGCAGAGTGTGTAGGGAACACAATGTAAAGGTCAAGGTCAAAGTATCTGCCTAGGTCAAATAAACGGCATAGCAAGGGCTATGATACCATAAAAATTAATGAATCCATCAATTATGCCATGGTGGCAGTATCTAAAAAGAATAAAAAAAAAATTATTCAAAAAAAAATAATACTTCTGTTCCATAACAGTTGTTACATTTGATGTATGAAATATATATGGAAATATAACAATATCGCATAAGATTTTCTTTTGTTTCATTTCACATTATTTTAGTTAAATATTATTTATGAAATCTGTTCGGGAAGTATTCAGCCATTTCAAGTATTACTTTTATGTAACTTTGAAATTAATCAGGAAAAAATTACTGCATATGTGTGAACAGACACACTCCTATGAAGTTACTCACTCAGCAGAGAAATATCACTGAATGAGATGGTGTATTATATGACCAACACATCCACTGTGAATATTGCCTATAGTAACTATTTGAATGATTCAGTAATAGAAAATTTAATAGCAATGCTTCAAACTTTGACAAGCATTGTTAAAAGCAATCCATGTTCTAGAAAGCCTTTAACAATCAGAACATCTGAAAATGTTGAATGTGTGTGGACAGCAATCTATGTAAATCAATAATTTAAAAGTATGATAATTAAAAGATCTGGGAATTCGACAGACTCTGAAAAATATCTAGTATTTTTAAAAATATGACACTCCTATTTTTCACATCTATTTACTTTTATTTATTTTTTTTCTAAAAGTCTTTAAGGTATAAAATTTGCTTTCTTGTGCTTAAATAAATTATGCTACAAAAATAGTCTTCTCTCTGTATTTCTGAGATGAGATATTGTAACTATTTACACTATATACATCGTTTGTTCTCATCCAGTGGATAAAAGCATTGGTTGAGTAATCCAAAAGTGACTTGACCCAAAGAGTTGTGAGTTCAATACATGGCCACAGCAGAGGAATCAAAAACTTGGAGAGTTGAGTTACTAAAGGGAATTAACTGACTTTGAGATATCACAAAAAAGGTATCACACATTGAATTAGAACACTCTATACCTGTGGACTAAATAAAATGTTTGGCTTGAAATTCCAACATATAATACCTGAAGACAGTCAGAGTGTACAGCGGCCAAAAGTTTGTGAATATGGCAATAAAGATAAGGACAACAGTCTGAACAATGTAATTATATTGTAAAACATAGTCTTATTCTTAAGCATTCTTTATAGAATCTTCAAGAGTCTAAATTTAGTTCCCTGTAACTTCTGGTCTTTTCCTAAACTAAAATTACCATTGAAAGGTAGGAGAATTTAGACTAACACAATGAAGCAGTTTTGAAATTAGTACTTTGAAGAAGGGTAAGGTACCATTGCTCTTGGTAGGATACCTTTGCAATAATATTAAATAGCTGAATAATTTCCAGAAACCTCATAATTTCATTTTATTCATCTGATGAATATAAAAGGAACTAAATGTCTTCTATTTCTTTAATTTTTTTTACTTGTAGGCTTTACTGGTGCATCTACAGCTGTTTATATTGCTGAATGTGCTCCCCAACATATAAGAGGACGTCTTATAGGACTGAGTCAACCATTTTTAACTATAGGAATACTATCAGCAGCAGTCATTTCTGGAATTTTTAGCTATGACAAGGAAAATGGATGGAGGTAAGTAACTTGTTTTGTCAACTTAAATGTAAATGATACCTCAATTGTATAGAGTTGATTGAGTGTTGTAAGACTAATAATAAATTATCAAAATTTAATAGAAGCAAAGGAATCTCAAATCTAAATAATGGCTTAAAAATGACTTTGTATTAACTTTTATTAATTGGATCTATGGAGAGATGTTAAGCCATACCATATTGATAGCTGTCCACAAATTCCTTATATTTGTAGGTACAGATTCTTGGGTGTGAATAGACCTTTCTACCACATTCCATAAATGCTCAATTAGTCTTATGGTGGACAAACATAGTGCCCACATCATTCTTCAGAAATCATCAGCATGTGCCTCAAACCAATGAATAACTTGGATCTGATGATACAATTCTTTATCTTGTTGGAATACTCATTGTTGTTGAGATACATGGAATCCATAGATGGGTACAAATAGTCTTAAAATATTGCAACATAACAGTCACTAATCAATGACATATTTAAGTGGATCAGTGGCTGCAGCTCATGTAACATAAATACCCCCTCACATGATTATAGAAATATTTCTGGCCTGTATGGTACCTTATTGATATTTGGGTTCTATGGGGTCTACACCATACCTGAGACTTATTGATCACCCCACTAAAAAAAAAAATGGAAATGTAACTTATTATACAATACCACTATGTTGCAGGATCCAATTACTAATATCACAAACATAGGTGAGGCTCTGTATTATGGTGTCATCAAGAGTACCATGGTAGGTCTTCTGCTTTCATATCTTATAAAAGCTAAAAATACTGAACAGACATGCTGGATATATAGCTGGTACCTGCTATATTGTATGTGTACGTGATCTGAATTGGTGTTATTTGTCTCTTACTGCAGATAATAGCAGCCAGATGCATCTTATCATGACCATTAATGACCTGTATTCAGCCACTGCACTGTCCTTGGTGGGTAGTATTGCCTTCAATCAGATATTCTCAGTATAAACATGACACTGTAGAACAAGATATGTCAGATGTTCTCACAAAGTATAATGCTCTATCTGGCACCCACTATCAAGCCTCTTTGAACTCTGATAATTCATGATACCTTGCCATAAGCAGTCTAACTCTGGTGTTTACACTCATTCTAGGTTTAAATAGAAACTTAGGCATACTCAGTGAATACAGTTTCAACAAAACCCCTCTACAACACCAATTGTGCCCAAAACTATTATATTTCATCAGTAATATGACACATGCAGAACTCCCAAGTCCCCCTTCATATTTTATTTCTTGTTGAGAAAGGACACAAGCATGTCCAAAAATTCAAATTTTTAACATCTTTCATCATGCTTTCATTTGGTCAAAAGGCATACTGATGTATAATAAACATTATTAGTTTTATTATAAATATTATTTTTGTTGATATTTTTTTTATCTCTCAAATTTCTTTCATCAGCCTACTATATTTACATGTTATAACAAGCATATGTGGATAATCTTTCTTTACTATATATATATACATGTATATACATACATATATATATATATATATATATATATATATATATAATCATAGATAAGGCAAGCACATTAATTATTGCACTAACATTATTTGTATTTTCAGATATATGTGGGGCTTCCAAGGTATTTGGTCAGTTATACAGTTTATTGGATTGCTCTTCATGCCTGAATCACCTCGATGGTTAGTCCAAAAGTCTCAATTAAAGGAAGCTGAAAAAGTTCTCATCAAGATTCGAAACACAAATGCTGTAGATGAGGAGATTTACGAGATCAAAAGCAACTGGGAAGAGATGAAACGTTCTTATGAAATGGCAGGTAAGATAGGATTTATTTTTATTAATCAAAATGGTAAACACGTACATGTCATTTGTGTTATTTCCACTCATGTATTAATCCTTTTTAGGCAAACAATTTTTCTAGTCATCATCAAATCATGATTTTTATTTAATTCAGATATTGCAAAACAATTCTGTTAAAAATTACTGTGATCTGAAGTAGAAGTTGTTTGGCATATAGAAACAAATTAGACACTGGTTTGGAGAAATGACTAAAGATGTATTTTTATTTATAAGGTATGAAAATGTCTCTGGTAAGTCATATGGTGTAGTGTTTAAATGCACAGTGTACGAGGTATGAAATAAGAGCATGAAGAAGGGGTATGCTTGAACTGGCTTGTTGACTATTGGTTTGGGTTTGTCGCATTGATAGTAGAGCCCGTTCTCTTTCTGTGTTCACAGGAGGTCATTTTCACAGCTTAATGGCAATCAGCTATGCTCTTGAGTAGCCTCTATGGTTAGTGTGTGTGTGTGTGTGTGTGTATGAAGTCTCTCTTCGCTGTCTGGCTTCTATAGCCTATATAAGGGAAATGCATGGACATAGTTGTAGACATCTATGGCAAGCAACAGTCACGTTGATAATAGCCTGTGCTCTGGTGTATTTGTGTTTGTTTTAAAATTTATTTTAAGTAGAGTGTGATGTGTGTGTGTGTGTAACTTAGCTAGACAAAAATTGGGTTTGTAGTTAGAGATATGTTTTCTAATAATTGTAGAAATTTGGCTTGAATTTGGTATTTCTATGTATAAATTGTGTTTTTCTGCTACAACTGTATTTAAAGGCAAAAAATGATAAAAAAATATCTTCCACATCTTATATGTAGAGTTAATGTATTTGGTAGGCTAATATTTATTGAGATGTCATAGACTACCAGTACTTGCATCTCACCCAGCTCCATGACACTGTTGTTGTGACACAGCTCCTAGTTATATTAGAGCAGTGGAAAACAAAATTTACACATGTAAATAATGGGTTGTCATTATTTGCAGAGGTGAAAGGAAATGAAATAAATTTCAATAAGGCAATATTTTATATTTTTGTTTCTATATAACTGAGTAACAAGAGAAAATATACTAATATACTTAGTATACATACAAAAGAAGACATTAAAAGTTAGGAATTATATGGGTGAGTCACAGTCAAACATATACACAGAGAGACTTTAATATAAAATTTTAGTATACTGAAATGATAAAAATGTATATCACTTTTCTTAACAGAAATAGTGCCACGAAATCTTCTCATATACAAAGCAAGAGTGCCCAATCTGCTCAGCTATTTAACCCATAACTGAAGGTAAATGAATTTATACCTTTTCCAAATGAAATGAATAAAACAAAATTGACCAGAATTAGAACTCAATAAGTCCACTTTCCTTGCTGGTATCATTATACACCATGCACATAATGTAATGAAGTTATTACATATTTAAATATACAGATATGTTAGTTTAGAAATTATTAAAGAAAGCACATTTTTTTCATTGGGACTCCTGCAAATCTATATCTGCTAGTTTCAGTCTTGTATCCAAAATGTAAGCAATGATAATTTTTAAAAGGATTTTTTAGCCGACATTATTTCTTATTGCTCAGACTTCACAATTTTGGCCAGTTGTTATTAATTTCATTGTTTAATAAAATAAAAAACAGGGATAGCAACTCACTGAAAATAATATTTATAGTAATAAGAAATAATGTCAGATAAAAAATCCTTTCAACTATTATTGTTTTATTATGTTTTGGGGTACAAAACTGAAGGTTCACAAGAGTCCCAATGAGAAAAATGTGCTTCTTTAATAGGCTGGCTCTGTGACCAAACTGGTAGAGGCAAACTTTGGTTCAAAAAATCATTTCCTTGATGAAAAAAAGATATGCAGGTTCAATTCCTGCTGAAGACACAATTTTTCTTTAGTAGAACATTGCAATTTAGGCCAGTTGTTATTTTCACTGTTTAATAAAATAAAAATAAAATATAGCAACTCAAACACATGTACCCACTAAAAATAACGTTTATAGAAATAAGATATATATATATATATATATATATGTATATATATATATATATATATATATATATGTGAAAATATATAAAATAGGAAGGAACTGGTTAGGTAAATAATCCAAAGTCCCTTAGTATTTTAGTTATTATTTTTTAAAAATAGTGCTCGATACAAAAGTAGAGCATAAATATAATTATTTATTTAAAAATATGATTCCAAATCGCGACATAAGAAGTCCCATGTTTCAAAACAAGAGCCGAAAACTTTAATATAATTATTTAAATTAAATTGAATTTAAATAATTCTGTTCCATCTTTAAGCAAAATTTTTTGTTTTGAAACATTTTAATATAATTAGCTAAATTAAATTGAGATTAAAATTTCTGTTAAACTTTTTCCATCTTCAAGCTGAATTTTTTTGGATTCCAAATTTCAGAGTCCAAAAGTAATTCCTGGTTTTAATTTTTTCTTCTGCCTGTTAGTAGATATAGTATTCATGAAAAGGCAGGTTTAAAATTCCACATATTGTGATTTTCTAGTCTTTACATCCCAACCAATGTTAGTTTTTTACAGTTATTTATTTGTTTCACTATTATACTTTTAATATGTTCATTTTTTACTGCAATATTCATCACCCAGGGGATCTTCCACCTGACCCATCCTCAGTGGTTTCCTTTATTTATCACTAACATCACTATAAGTACTCATCATTTTTCCCATTCCTACTCTCAGTTGTTTGTAAGGGCCAATTGTTTGTTTGTTATTTGATAACTCATAATTTATTTGTAAATCCTATTCAAACATCATCAAAGGAGAGATTGGTCCATAATTGATCAATTTCTCCCTTCCTTTTTCAGTACCATATCTGAGCTTGACTTGGGGTGGGTTAATTATCTAATTTTCCTTCTCTTTTGTCATTTTTGGTATACACATTTATCTGGTATATACATCTATCTATGAATAGACCTATCTTTCATTCTAACTTTCAGCTATGTTTAATTTTTACTTTATTAAGGTTTTTCTTCTATTTTTTTTTTTCTTTTTCTCATTCTGTTCACCCAGATATTTGTCAAAATATCAGTCTATTCTTCCTTCTCCTTTCTTCCTTATACCCATCTGTTTATCTACAAGTACATTAGTCTACATTTCCTTTTAGCTTTCAAATCTTTTTTAATTTTCACATTAGCCTTCATTATATTTTCTAATGATCTTTCCCTTCTTTCTCAGTCTATCCACCCAGATATCTGTGAATACATCAGCCTACCCTTCCTTATAGCTTTCAGTACTTTTTAATTATTATATTACACAGCCCTTCCTTTTGAGCATCTTTTTTTTCTATCTATTCAGTTATCTGTGAACACATTAGCTTACACTTCCTTTAGTTTTATTTCTTTTTCATTACCCAACCCTTTATTCTGTTCATCAATTCATCTACATATCTGCAAATATATCACTCTTCTTAATTTTGGATTACTTGACCATCCTTTTTCCCCTCTTTTTTTCTTTCTTTCTGTCTATCCATTGTCATATCTGTAAATACATAAGTCTACCTTTCTGTCTAGCTCTCAATCCTTTTTATTTTTTGTGTTACCTAGAACTTTCCTCAGACAATCTTTTTTTTTCTCTCTCTCTCTCTCTTACTCCAAGTCTATCCATTCATATATCATCAGTATACCCTTCCTTTCAGTTTTCAACACAATTTCATAAATTTTCACATTAGCCAATGTACAACGTATCTGGACACCCAATTTTACTCAACTCATATTCTATTCCATATATTATCACACTTGTCACTAATTGTCAGACTCTTACCCAGAAATCTCTGATGGAACTGCTTTCCCTCATCCTCAACTTACTCAGTCTCTCACAAGTATTTCTTAATTAACTCATTAGAAACTCATCCTCATTTCTGTGAAACAGCTCTTTACTGTTTTATAAATTTTCTGTATTTACTCCTTCAGTAGCAAGCTCTAGTAAGTAGGTAACTGGCATACAAGAAGTGTTAGCCCCTACAGACACCTAAACTTGTCATGCACAATAGGCACAATTGTACATCTGACCCAGACACCATGCAGAAACGATCCACACCCCCATGCACTACCATACCTACTGCTTTGCTTCTGGAGGCGTGTTTTACTTATTGTGTTCTTTCCTATTTCTCTTCTCCAGAGGCTGCTTGGACTCACTTGTCCCCCATTGTTTCTGGTTTACCTGGGGATTTTAGTTCTCAGGGCTATTTCTTCTATTCCAATCTTCAGCACAGGCAGATTCATTTCAATCTGTACCCTAATTTCATACCCATTCATTGCCTAATATCAAAATTCATTCCAACTTTTGGAGTTCTATACAACCTCGGCCTGGCTTCTGTCCTTCCTTCCTTGATAGGTAGGGGTATCATACCTGCTACATTCACTTCCTAACCATCTACCTGGGTTATCTTTAAATCTGAAAGCTTTGACTGCTTATACTGCTGTCTAACATTTAACATTTCAGATTTTATCATTACCAGTCTTCTAGTCCTCTAAGAATTATATAATTGTAAAAGTTAAATAAATCCAATGAGAAAACATATCCTTGTCAGACTTTTCTTTCTATAATGTTAAAAATGTACTTAGCAACCAACAAACAGGTTGAAACTGTAAAATCCTGCCCAATGATTTATTGGGCAAATTCCAGATCCAATGAAAGAAAATGTATAACATTTCTAGCAAGTTTTTTGTGCTTTGATAAATACTGTTGTTTTCACATACAATAAAATGTAAAATTATCTATACTAAAAAATAAATTTCATTTAAAATAATAGAATTCATTTTTAAAATATTGAAACAGATTATATATATTTTAATAATAAATATACATTTTTGCACAATTGAGTTTCATGCACAATGCAAAATGTTTATCTATTATTAATATGTAATTTATAGCTCTGTTATTCTAGCACTATTTTATCAACACCAGCACTCAATGGTATATAAGGAGTATTA